TAAAGAAAGCTGACGGTTCAGGTAGGGCAAGGGCTTAGCATTAAAGTTAGTTTTACCATTTCAGCGAGTGAGAAGGAGTGACGGTGCAGAGGTAGCTTATTCTGAATATCTCGATCTTGGTAATAAGGAATTCTGTGAGTTCTGTGCATATGTTGTTGGAGGTAAAAATGGAGGAATTTAAAACAACAGATAGTAAAATCTCTCCAGTTTACAGAAGAAAAATGCAAAAGGTGGCAATTAAAAAATGTGCTTCCCTGACAAAAAATACAGCACTTTGAAATAGATTTCATTCGAACTCACTAGACCTCCACAGGTGATAGGCGAAAGATCATTTTCCAAACATGTGCCCATTTCACATTGGAATTCAAGATTTGGAATATAACAGAACTTCCACACAATAAAATTAATGGGTGGAATTTCCACTGGCACCCACTCTCAAATTCCAACATGTGCTTCCATTGCACAAAGTTACTCAAATCAAAAACTGTCTATCATAGTCCTTGCCAGCCAGACTTACTACGTAATATACAAATCTGAAGGCCTTTAATCATGATGAGCCATGGTGTGGCGATGATGGTGTTGGACTGGGATGGACAAGGTCAGAAATCACACGACACCATAGACGTGGTACCATGTGATTTCTGACTGTGATAAGCCATGTTATGCAGTTGTCAAGCAAGCCACAAGACTTGCTTCACAGTCACATCCAACCTACGCCATTTGTCTAATTTCACCTTTTATTTTCCACTTACTGACACTTGGAACTGTTTCAACGCACCTAAGGTCTATTCTGCTGCCGGTTCATACAGCACAGAGACAGGCCCTTTGGCCCAAACTGGTCCATACCAACCAAAATGTCCATCTAAGCTAACCCAATTTCCCTGCAATTGGCCCATATCCTTCTAAACCTTTCTTATCTATGTATTCGTCCAAATGCCTTTTAAATGTCATTAATATACCCGCCGAACTGGTTTGTTGTTCTGCAGACGTTTCATTACCCCGCTGGGTAACATCATCAGTGCGGCCTCCGATGAAGCGCCGTTGTGTTTTCCCGTGTGTTAGTTAAACCCTAGTGTTCGTTGAGCTGGATTACCTCACTTCCGGTTTTCCTTCGCAATGGAGTGTATATGGGGTCGAGTTCTGTGTGTTTGTTGATGGCTTTCTTCGTGGAGTACCAGGCTTCTAGGAATTCCCGTGCTTGTCTCTGCTTCGCTTGTTCCAGGATCTTGGTGCTGTCCCAGTCAAATTGGTAGTTCTCCTTATCCATGTGGATAGAGATGAGGGAGTATTGGTCGTGTCTTTTTGTAGCCAATTGATGTTCGTGTACCCTTGTTATTAATTTACTTCCTGTTTGTACGATGTGTGTTTGTCACAGTCTCTGCGGGGAATCTTGTATATGACATTGGTCCTGTCCATAGTGGGTAGTGAGTCTTTGGTTCGGGTGAGCAGTTGTCGTAGGGTTGATGTGGGTTTGTGTGCTACTCTGATGCCCAGTGGTCATAGGAGTCTTGTGGTCAGTTCAGATGTATTCCTGATGTAGGGTAGCCTGATGAGGTAGGCGAGCCAACTAACCACAACATCCACAACCCGAGCTACAAATCTACTCTTAAACCTCATTCTATATATGTACCACCCTCTGTGCAAAATAGTTACCCCTCAGGTTCCCATGTATTCTTTCCCCTCTTACCTTAAACTGATGCCCTGTAGTCCTCGATTTCCCAACCCTGGGCAAAAGACTGAGTACATTCACCCTATCCATACCTTTCATAATCTTATGCACTTCTATAAGGTCCTGTCTCAGTCTCCTATGCTCTAAAGAAAAATGTTCACAAAATAATGGAACATTGCAGCTAAAGGCTACAACATGAACAAAAAATGTCTCACCATGTTCTGTTGCTGATTGCCATCCAATGATTCTTACAGGCAAATGGATGTTATTTGAGGGAAGAATCAACACTGACTGTGATCTTGAAATTGCATGCTGGCATTTATTGCAAATGTACCAGAAAGAGAAAATGATATTCACTGCATGGTTCAAGTTTGCTTTTGCTTTCTTTTCATCACCAGCTACAAGGAAGAGACAATTTTCTGCCCTTCAATGCCATTAGTTGTTCATCCTTCCTCAATCCCTCACTTCATCCACCAACTCCATCTCTTTCAAAAATATGAATTAGCAGCAGGAGTTGGCTACGCAGCCCTCACACCTGCTCTGCCATGTAGAAAATCATGGTTGATTTGATACTTTCCCTTGTCAACACAGAATCTGTCCAATTTAATCTTAAACATATATAATTACTTAGCTTCACTGCCCTCTGGGAAAGAGTTCCAAAGCCTCACAACTTTTTTTTTGTTCATGGGATGCGTGTATCACTAGCTAGGCCAGCATTTACTGCCTGTCCCTTAATGTCCAAAGGACAGTTCAGATCAGTTGTAGTTCAGGAGTCACATAAATGCCAGATCAGATAAGGCCGTACAGATTTCCTTCCCTAAAGGGCATTAGTGAACCAGATGGGTTTTTATAAACAAGTGACAGTGGTTAGACTGTACTCTTTCCTCCCCTACACTTTTATTGAATTTGGATTTCACCATCTGCTATAGTGGGAGTTGAATCCAGATCTCTGGAACACTAGCCTCAGGTTCTGAATTACTAGTCCCATACCATTACCACCACACCATTGCTTTTTCTGTCATCTCATCCTTAAATGCAAGGCCCCTTACTTTTAAACACTCTTGACAGCACTGACTTTTGCTTGAACAATAGAAAATCCTATTCTGTGCCGTGTCAAATTGACAGTGGAGACATTATTATTACTAGCTGCCCTCAAAGTAAAAAGTAACACAAATCAGAGATCTCTGTCTGACCCATGATTGACACACAATTCTGTTCAGGAACAATCGCTGCTGTATAGTTCTCTCTCCAAATTACTTTACCTTAACCATAACCTTGTCTTGTGACTGATTTTGCAAGTGTTCTGTGAAATTTAATTGTATAGGGCCTAGGACGTTACAGAAAGCAGGAGAATAATTTTTCACAGTTAACAAACGGGCAGATTCCAAAAGACATTAGATATGCAAACAGCATAAATCTACCTTGTTTCACGTCAGTAACAAAACTGCTTTTGCTCAAATTAGTGCCACGTTTCCCACAATACAATTACTACCTTTCAAAAGTGTTTCATTAACTGCAAAGCACCTTGCGATGTCCTGTGGTTGTGAATGGCACAAAGTAAATGCAAATCAAATTTTAAGTAGAATCCATCATTCAAGATAAAATTCGTGAGCCTTTGGAAATACTGAGGTGAATCAAGATCCAGATTGAAGAGTGTATGTATTATGATACACATATATCTCCAATTGTGTGTGGTAAATTAGCCAGACCAGAGAGTCTTTGTTGTCTACCACTGTTTGTACAAAGGAAAGTACAGCACAGGAACAGACCCTTCGGCCCACCAAGACTGTGCTGACACATGATGCCTTTCTAAACTAAAAAACTTTTGTCTGTTTGAAGTACATATCCCTCTATTCCCTGCCTATTCATATATCTGTCAAGATACCTTTTAAACATTACTATTGTATCTGCCTCCACCACCTCCTCTGGTAGCACATTCCAGGCACTTACCATCCTCTTGTGTAAAAAAAAGTGCCTCTCACATCTCCTTTAAACTTATCCCTTTTACCTTAAACCCACATCCACTGGTAAGTGTGTGTTGTTTCGCTTTAGAAAAAGCAGGGGAAAGTGGGAAAGGAGAAAAAAATGCCCTTAAATGCATTTAACTATGCTATCAATGATCCTTTTAATTCCTATAAGATAATATCATTAGCTGAGAGAAATTAAATTATGTGCCTAAATACCCCCATGTTAAGGTGACCTGGGTCAATGACTACCTCTGTTAGAAGTTTGAGCCCATTATGTGGTCAAGCTTTTATGGAACTACTGAAATAACTTTTGTTAGCAATGATTAAAATTTATGACTTCTAGCATGCAGCCAACTCTCAGTGCAGGGTTGTTGCTGGGACCAGTACCATTTAATAATTGCTTCTGGTAGCAGTTCCAGAACTAATTCTAATTCTCAGAATATGGCAAGTATAAGTTACTGCTAAGTAACCTGTCTGGTGCCAACATTAGCTATTACAAACAAAATCAGAAATTGCTGGAAAAAGTCAGCAGGTCTGGCAGTATCTGTGGAGAGAAAGCAGAGTTAATGTTTCGGAGAAGTTCTGAAGAAGGAAATCTGCGTCTTTTTTACTCATAACTGGGCATCACTGGCTGGCCAGCATTTATTACCTATCCCAGATTGCCAAGAGGGCAGTTAACAGTCAGCCACTTTGCTGTTGGTCTGGAGTCACATATAGGTCAGCAGATTTCCTTTTCCTAAAGGACTTTAGTGAACCATATGGTTTTTTAACAACAATTGATTATTGACAATTGATAATTTGACAACAATAGTGTTTAGACTAGCTTTTTAATTCCATATTTTCATTGAATTCAAATTTCATTATCAGACACAGTGGTATTCAAATCTATGTTCCACAGATGGATATAAATGATCCCATAGGAAAGAAGTGCTGGGATGGTTCTCCCCAACGTCCAGGCAATATTTTTTCATCCTTCAAACATCACAACAGGGGATGATATGGTCATTTATCTCACTGCTGTATGGTGGAACTTGCTGCTCACAAATTGGCTGCTGTGTCTCCTATGTTACCACAATGACTATACTTAAAAACCAAAAGGACTTAATTGGCCATGAAAGACCTTGGGATATCCTGAGGTACTGAAAGGTGCTATATAAATGCAAGGATTTCAATTCTCTTTAGGTTGGCCCTCTCTGTGTTTCTCTCGAGCCTCTCAGAAAGAAGTGTTAAATTTTTCAAGATTTTCACAAAAGGAAGTATTTGAAAGATGTTCTTAAAAGAATTTGCCGATCATTGAAATGTTAATGCATGCAACATGAAGACACTGCATCATTTGTTGTCATTTCTATTCTCGCATCCTGTAGGTTGGTCCGAGAGGTGACAGGTGTGAACGTAAACATGCGAGTTGGGATTCACAGCGGGCGAGTGCACTGTGGGGTCCTCGGACTCCGTAAATGGCAATTTGATGTATGGTCAAATGATGTCACCTTGGCTAACCATATGGAAGCAGGAGGCAAGGCTGGGTAAGAGTTATGTTTCTGCCTGAAGCTGAGCTGATCGCAACACCCCTGGTGCTTTTCCTCAGCCCCATCCACCATATACCGGCACCTCTTGTCTGCCCTCCTCAAATGACCATCAATATTAAGTCAATATCACTACTGTTTTGTCATCATTATAGACTGACACTCACCGTAGCACCACTTAAACCACATTAAGCATGTTGACTGTTCTGGGCAGTTCACACTATTTAATGTGTCGCTTTGCACTGAGCATACCATGTTGACACCCACTCCCTTTTTAGCAGATTCATGACTCCCATTCCCAATGATTCCTTATAGCTCCCTTGTCAACTTAGTGTCCCCATTCCCACCATGCATACCCATCCATCAAGTTTTGCCCTTATACTCTGCATGCAAACTCAGCCAGTATACACTATAGCAGATGTCAGGAACCAAGCTTAGATGACATAAAATAAAGTTCTAAGTATATATTACAGACTGCACCATATTAAAAAAAACTCTGATGTAAGGCTTTTCGATATATATAAATTCTTCCAAGGAATTAATTCCATTATTAAAATAATAAAATTTATACTTAAAACCCTATATCATAAAAGCTGATCCTTTAATAACTACTTAGAACTGTTGATCAAGCTGTCAATGTATAGCACTCACCACTGAAATAATGACAGGTTGTGGGAGCAATCAAGCTGTAATAATGCTACAATTATAGCTACCAGGGTTACGTCATCAAACAGCTGTTGAAACTGAAAGCATGATCTTTCACAATTCATAAAGACACAAAGTTTTTTTCATCAAACTTTAAAGGGCAAAGGATTTAAATAGTTTGATAGCTTGACAATACCACACACCTAATCTACTTCTCATAAGCATTTACATACAATAAAAAAAGTTATGCACTGCAATATAAGACCTATGTTCCAAGAAAAATACGGCTTATTTGAACTCAGCAATGGGGATTCAAAGGGTGAGATTAATACTGCTGAATTTCCCCCGAATCCCAATGAATTCAATGGTGGATCGAGAACAACAATGTGGACCAAGATGGTTCAGCCTGGGACCCATGGGATCACTGAGTGGAAAAAAGTGTTTGAGGGATGATGCAGGAGAGTAGTGCAGACACTGGGGCTATGGAGGCCACAAGGACTCCTTGCTAATGCTGGAAGATGCAAATGGTGAAGGGATAAGCAATTCCAGAGTTTTGATTGAATAAAGTATTTTTAAACTTTTGGCCTCTTCTGACTCATTCAATGCCCCTACACACTGTTCTCAAAACATTGGCAAGGAGCCATTGGAGGAGTTTAAAATTGAGAGTGTATATGTGTGTGGACAAAATTCGCCTCAACGGTAATGTCCCCATGTTAGAATAGTTTGTTATCACAGTTGTATCTTATATATAAAAGATTTTCATTACTCTTTTTTCTTGGAATGTAAACAACAGTGGCAGAACCACCATTTAACCCCATTTCTCATTGCCCTGAAGAGGTGGTTGTGATGGGCCACCTAACCACATCTAACAGTCCATGTGTTGCCAGCATTGTGATAGACAGGGAGTTCCAGGATAACTCACCTCCTGATTCCTCAAAGCCTGTCAACTATTGACAAAGCACAAGTCAGGAATATGATGGAGTATGTTCTACTGGCCTGGATGAGTGCAGCTCTAGCAACACTCAAGAAGCTTGATACCATGCTGGACAAAACAGCCTGCTTCTTTGACACTACCTTCAGTGTTCACTCCCACAAGATGCACTGCAGAAACTTACCCAGCTTGCTTCAACAGCACCTTCTAAACCCACAACCACCACCATCTATAAAAGCAGAAGTCACATGACACCAGACTATAGTCCAACAGGTTTATTTGAAATCACAAGCTTTCGGAGCACTGTTCCTTCATTCAGGTGAGTCAGATGCATGAGAACACCACCACCTGCAAATTCCCATCCAAGTCACTCACCATCCTTACTTGGAAATACATCACCGTTCCTTCAGTGCTGAAATTCTTCCCACACAGCATTGTGGGTATACCCATACCCAGTGGATTGTAACAGTTCAGAAGTTAGCTCAACACAACTGTCTCAAGCACAATTTATCAATGGACAAAAAATGATGGCCAAGCTAGTGACACACACATCCCATGATCAAAAATATGGAAGACTTAGCCAGTGAAGGTAATATTGTACAAGTCAGATCTCAGATTGATTTGATAGATAAGTTTTATTTTTGCAGGTTGTTGACATTAAAGTACTAACCTATAACTCACTCCCAACTGCCCATTATTCTATCAACTAGTGAAATGGCAGAAGAATCAGCAACAAGGGGACACATATTTAAGAAAATTAGCAGAAGAAACAATGGCACCATGAGAAAAGTAATGTTTTAAGACAGAAAGATAGAAATCTAGAAAGCACTGCTTGAAAGGGTGGTGCAGACAGCTTCAATAGTAACTTTCAAAAGAGAATTGGAGAAATACTTAATGGGACTATGGACAAAGGTGCAGGGGAAGTGTGAATGTCTGGATAGCTCTTCCACTAAGCTGGTGCAGGTAAGATGGGCCAAATAATTTCCTGCTGTGATTCTCTAATTTTTTAAATATTCATTCATTGGATGTGAGTGTCACTGGTTAGACCAATATTTATCGTCCATCCCTAATTGCCCTTGAGAAAGTGATGGAGAGCTGTCTTCTTTAACACCCTGATCCCTTGGCGTGTAGGGTCACCCATAGGGCAGTTCCAGGATTTTGACCCAATGACAGTAAAGGAACAGCAGCATAACTCCAATTCAAGATAGTGTGTAGCTTGATGCAGAACTTGCAAATGCTGTTCTCATCCATTCCATGGTATTAAACACTTGAACCCCTCAATTCGATTCCAGTCTATAACTTTCTCCTGGGCATCCAATGTTACATGTATAAAATTCTTAAATCATCAAATAGATTCCAGTCTGTAAATTGTTCCCCCGTGCCCTCTAAAAACTAAGTCTCTAAACCCTTGGATTAGTTCACATTGGCAGACTGAAGTCTCCAGGGAAAATGCAGAGTTGGTGATTTTTTTTTTTGCAATTTGCTCAGCCGTTCTTAACCCTTCCACTCTTTGAAAAATGTCTCTTCCTGCTTTTAGGCGAATTCACATCACAAAAGCCACGCTGAACTATCTGAACGGGGATTATGAAGTGGAGGCAGGTTTTGGAGGCGAGCGGAACGTTTACTTGAAGGATCACAATATTGAGACCTACCTCATTGTGGGATGTAGCCAGAAACGGGTAAATAAAAGAATTCCATAAGAAATTGGAGCAGGGGTCAGCCAGTTAGCCTTTCTAGCCTGTTACACCATTCATTAGCATCATAGCTGATTTTGTAGAGTCATAGAGTCATACAGTGTAGAAACAGGCCCTTTGGCCCAACTTGTCCATGCCAACCAGGTTTCCTAAACTGAACTAGTCCCATTTGCCTGCGTTTGGCCCATATCCCTCTATACCTTTCCTAGCCATGTACCTGTCCAAATGTCTTTTGAATGTTGTAATTGTACCCACTTCTACCACTTTCTCTTACAGCTCATTCTCTATATGCAGCAACCTCTGTGTGAAAATGCTGCTCCTCAGGTCCCTTTTAAATCTTTCCCCTCTCTCCTTAAACCTATGTCCTCTAGTTTGCACTCACCCATCCTGGGGGAAAGGCTTTGCTATTCACCTTATCTGTGCCCCTCATGACTTTACACTTTCATACTTTATACATTTTATACTTCTCCTCCACATTCTGGTCCTACCCATCTCCCTTAATACCCTCAAAATTCTATTGATCCCAGCCTTGAGCATTGTCAACAAATAGGTCAATACAGATACAGTAGCAATAATTGAAGGGGATGTTTCAGAATACATCAAATAAACATTAAATTGCAAATGTTTCAGAGATAGTAGGAACTGCAGATGCTGGAGAATCTGCAATAACAAGGTGTAGAGCTGGATGAACACAGCAGGCCAAG